AATCCAACTTTGATATTTATCACTTTCTTGGAGAACCCTGCATTATAATTGAAATTATTTTTAAATTGTTGCCATTTCTGATATATATCTTGATGTGAAAACAGATTTTAAAAATATAATATAGTTCTGTCTCTCCAGACCGAAGCATTATCGGTGGCCCACCTTCTATAAAACGTCGATATCAAGTTTCCGACTTATGGCTTTTTTCTGATGAGATCAATAATTATGAGGAAATTAATAAAATAGCAGAAGAGGAAAGAATTGGTAATGAAATAAAAATTGAAGAAGACGTAAATGATAATGGTGAACACGTGGAGGAAATACAAGAAACCAATAGGCTTCGAAAACCAAGAAACCGAATAAAAAATATGGCCTTTGGGGAAAAAATTCTGGAGAGGCATATGTTTCTAGACTAGGAAAGAATTATTTCACACCATTACCAGCTTGCTGATAAGTCTCTTTAGAGGGTTTTTATCTCATATCTCAGCACATTGAAAAAAAAAATGCCAAACAAATCTGAAAAGCAGTACAAAAAGAAAACATTTACGTTTTATAATCAAAAAGTTGGGGTCTGTAAATTATTTTTTAAAAATACCTTAGACATTTATAACTATTGTATTGATTCTGTTTTGAAAAAATTAAATGAATTTCGGTTCTTGGAAATATAAAAAAAGGGACTCATTTAAGCCGTCCTAATAAAATTAATGAAAATTTGATCGGAATAAAACATATTAATAGTTTTACCAGAAAATTCCCATTATTGTAGGGGTTTCACAAACGAGAGTTTTTGGAAGGATCGTTTAACTTAATATATAATTATAAACAAAAATGTATAAGCAATGGTAGAACACTCGATAAACAACACATTTACTCAGATATTTTTAATACAAAGTTTAATTTAGATTTTTTGGGCCGGAAAAAGATTAATGCTCTGTCTGCAAAACATTTATAAAAGCGTCAAGAGGAAAAGGTTTTATCTCAGCTGGAAAAGATTGAAAGGTACAATTTGGCATTGCAAGATGAAAACAATAATTTCATATATTATGTTTTTATGATTTACAAGCTGTTACTTCACTACCTAATGGTAATGTTTCAATATTTTATGTGGTTTTGCCATAAAAGTAAACTAATCGTTTTGGTTTTCAACATAAAAGAAAAATCTGGGTTTTGCTACATATGGCATGAAGGAGACGCCAAATGCTAAAGGAGCAAATGAAATAGCAACCTGTGCATTTCGGTTTTTAAAGAAATATGACATAGAAAAAAAATGTATTCTACATTGATAATTGTACAGCTCAAAATTAAAAAAAAAAATTGATGGCTATTATTTTTAGTTTTCAGAAGTAGCATTTCTGACTACAACGTTAAGCCAAACTGAAAATATCTGATCAAAATTAAAGCCTGAAATATTAAAATAAAGAAAAATCTGGTTCGTGGTATAGTTGGCGAATTAAAAATCCTGTAACTAATTTGGTAAAAAAAAAAAATTGGAAAGTTGTAGTAAGTAGTGGTTCAATAACAGATGTTAACTTAGAAAGCAGATTATTTTATCTTATGGGTGTTTTGGAGGGTAAATTAAAAGTGTAAAGTATCAAGTGAAAGGCTCTTTGAAGCACAATTTCAAAAATGCATAATACAGTCATTTGCGTTTCTTTACTTAACTCATTTTCGAAAAATTACTTATCTGCAAAGGGCCCAGAAAAATCTAGAAAAATCATGAGAATAAGATGTAGATTGAATAATTGCATTTTGTTAGAAAGTTTTTTTATACCGAAAAAAAAAAGTTCCACTGTGCTGACATTTATCAGCTCCGGCCTAAATCTATCAACATAATTATTATCAACTCTATTTAAAACAAACTTTTAAAACAATAATTAAGGTAGGGAACACGATTGTGCAAGTACGATTCACACTTGGCCATGTTTTATTAATATATTTTATTATCATTTTAGACATAAAAAATAACTAGAAGCTAAAATATCTTGAAAATGAAGATTACTTTACATTAAACAATTTGCATAACATTACTACATTTTTATAAGAAAAATAATTCATTTAAAAAATATATAATAAAATATTGACTTTAAATGGATTAATAATTTTGCTCTATAAGAATATCTGGAAAAATTAGCTCTTTAAGATTATATTATTATCAAAGGTAGTAGGATAATAATAATTGGTATTTAGGTATGTTTATTATCAACATTTTTTTGAAATCTAATAAATACCAGTTCCAATAACTAAAATATTTTCCAATACTTAAGGGGATCACAATATTATATGTAAAAAAGAAAATAATGAGTAAAGGATTGATATTTGTTTGGGTTAAAAGAAGTTTGTATCCTATTCATGATAACCAATGTACAGAGAAACACTTTGTCGCTGGAAAGACAAAGAGGTGTAACTCCAATTTACTGATTTTACAGGAGACCCAATTAAACTTTTTGTTGTATGCTTATTAGTGCATTTAATTTGTTATACGTTAACTATAAGGAGAAGAGATACACCCCTTTGCCACATCATAAATATCCACTTTAACATATTTGTGGCGTTCTTAATTCAAATTGGACATTTTTTGATATACACCTCTTTGCCTTTCTACTTAATGACAAAATAATTCAGTCAACACAATTAGTCAAAACAGTGTCACATGATACAGGAATTATATTCTCACTAGCAAGCTGTTTATTAAATAACTAAATACATCATTTGTAAGGAACCTTGAAATAAAAGTAATCTAAAAAAGGTTACAACATGTAATTGAAACATTTGAGTGATAAAATTGCATGATAAGCATGAAAAACTAACATTTTTAAATTTACAGGCAGGTGTCAAAGATTTATTTAAAAAATTTCACACAAAAATAGTTAATTATTTTTGTGTCTTGATTCACTTGTCAAAACCTCTTTACATATGCCGATGTTTACTCATAATTTTAGTTGCAGTAAAATTTTTATATGCTTTTCACTCATGCTACACCTAGGTTAGGTAATTAAAAATATGTTTTCCCCAGTATTTTCATAATAGAAATGTAATATTAGTTTTTACTGTATCTAATGAAATTTGAATGTGAAAATATAATTAAACTGCTCACTTGATACACCTAATTTTATCATCATTTGTTAGATACTTTATCCTAGAAACGCCTTAGCCGATTTTTAAAAATGAAGAAAATTCTGAAAGTTCGTTATTTCTTGATGTGATCTTCAATAAAAATTCACTTTTCAGTGTTACAGGGTGTGAAAGATTACAATGCAAAAATGGAAAATTTTAACTGTCTGCACCAGTTCTAATATTAATTACAGAACTTTAATTGTAATCATATTTAGAAGTTTGGTAGATATCTCAGAACGTATTTGGCAGTTTTATTTTTTTGTTTTTTTTTTGTTCAGAAAAAAAGTTATAGGGAATTTCAAAAAACTAGAATGTTTTAAATTATTTTTTCAAAAATAAAATAAATGAAACGCAAAGCCAAATGTGACACAATATACGAGCGTTTCCCTTCAGAAAACAACTACTCGTTTGGCAAAAAGAGCAACAGGCAGTAAATTATATTCAAAGGAAAACAGCAAAGATAGAAATTAAATTTCAACACTCTACCTTTGATTTTGCTTACTAAGGAGAACATCATTCTTGGACCAGTTTTTTCCTTATTAGGACCCTTCAGCAAGAAATAGATAGGTTCTCAATTCCAGTCTCTAATTGAATTAAAAAAAAAAACACCAAATTCACTAGTATACAATAATGGTGGTTACGAAGAGAATAAGTATTCAAATAGTAAAGCCATCTGTTCCTAGTAAGCAAAATTAAAGGTCGCTTGTATTATCCAGTTAGAAAACTAGTCCAAAAATGACGTTCTCTTTAGCTGTTTTCCCTTAAGATATAATTCAATACCTGTAGCGGTATTAGCCAAAGGAGTAGTTGTTTTCCGAGGAGAAATGGTCGCTCGTATTTTATATTATAATTTAAAAAATTAGAACTTTTTGAAAATACCCTAGAACTTTTTTCTAAACAATGAAATACGTAACTGACAAGTACGTTCAGAGATATCGACCAAAACTTCTAAATGTGATTATGGTGAAAGTTCTGGAATTACTATTACAACAGATGCAGTTTACATTTTTTATTTATTTGTAACGGGAAACCCCATTACAAAGCAAAACACATTTAAATGATACAGATAATTGTAAATTATAAATTAAATTAAAAAGTACAAGTAAGAGAAAAAAAGTTAAATTAAGTCAAATAAATTATAGATCAATAAATACGTTGTAGTCTTTCACACCGTGTATAACACTGAAAAGTGACTTTGTACATCAAGCTATTAATTCAAGAAAAAATTAAATTTCAGAATGTTCTTCATTTTTAAAAATCGACTAAGGGGTTTCCAAAATCAGTCTCCTACAAATGAAGATGAAATTAGGTGTATCGACTAATTCCGTGAGCAGTTTATTTTTTAATTTAGAAGTTGTATGATAGTAATACATTGTTTTAGTCTTGAAAACAAAAACAAAATTAAAAAAATAAAATAACTAAAGTATTAAAGAAAATATTCTTAGAACTCCGTTGACTTAATGAAAGCATTTCATTTTGGTCTGTTTTAATAATATTCCAGTAAATAAGTAATACAAAAACAAATGTTGCTTTATGAAGTTAACATACTAGGGGAAGTAAACAAAAAGATTATTTAGAAACATTTCAATTCAATCTGATTTTTATAGTTTAATGTCCATCGCACCATGGCTGACAATTGGAATTGGTACATGGTTGCCAAGGTTATATAGTAATATTTTATATCTAAGTAAAAGTAAATTTGAGACATCAGAGATGCTGTCAAACATATATATTTTTGAGATATATGGCAACACAGCAGGGGTAAAATTCAAATTCTATATATCATAGTAGAGTGGAATAGATATGTGCATTAATAAGACAATAAACTATAAGACTACCCAGATTTTTTTATTACCTACATATAATAGTAAAAGTTTTCTACTTACCTCACTACTTTCTTCAGATGTATCTGAAATCTCCCTAACAGTCTGTCTTTTACTAACAGTATTTTTGTTGGCAGGTTTCCTCCCCCTTCCTTGGGACCTCTTAGTTGAGCTGACTTCTTCTTCCTCCTCCATTAGAGCAAATAGTTCATTAAATTGCTTCCTTTGGCCGTCATTGCTGTTGTTGTGTGCAATGCTGAGAGCCCTCTGCATAGAGTCTAGGGTGTAAATTGCCATGCAATCATGTTTTTCACAAATAATTCTCAACTTTTCCAAATGTCCCAGCACTTGGTCTGCACTAGGCACTGTAGCACTTAAAGTCTTACTTGTACTAGATCTTTTCCGCTTATTAGGAGAGGTTGAAGGATACCTTGTGCTTAATAATGATGAAATTAGTTCAGCCACTTTGTCTATATACTCATCACACCAATATTTTATAATGGTAAACACAAATAGATCACCATGATCACAAATGTCCCTGGAGAACAAATATTTTATGTAATCTGCATTTGGTTTCTCCAGTTTAAGCATAAGCGTAATTGCCATTAAAGCTTCTGAGTGTTGTTCATAGTCTAACTCTGTAATTAATGGTAAAACTGTATCTATCGAGACATTATGAGCACTGACAAGTTGCCAGAGGAAAAACTGTTCAATGCTCTCCCAGCTCAGGCTGGCTTTTAAAACAGGTATGATAGTTTCTGTCTTGAACATCATAAGATGTCCTTGAAGCACTTTACCCACTAAGGTTTGTAATTGCTTAGGATCTATTGCTGAAATTATTACCCTCAAAACCTGAGCATTATTTAAAGTTTGCTGTTTAAAGTCCCTATATAGATCTGGCACTATCCACATCATTAATTTTGTATCACTGATATGACAAGCATGTAAGTCATCAAATAAACAAATGTCTATTTTCTTTTCTATGCTGTGGCAAAAGTCTTTGTATACGCTTATCTTTAGAGCACTTGCAACAGAATGATCTTCTTTCTTGTTTTCTCTCCATATTTTTGCTTTGAGGTAATAAATGAGCAGGTAACCCATACATGGCATATCACTATACATTTCAGCAGTTAATTTATAGAGGACATCTTTTCCTATCTCATCTTTACCAAACCCATACAGAGTTTTAAATAAAGTAAATAGTGGAGACTTCATGCTATCATTTAGGTTTTCTTCAGTTAAAAAATCAGGGAATATCTCCCCTTTCACTTCATCTTTTACACAAGTAACAAGACATTTTGCTACTGCTGGTAGATTTTCATCATCTTCATCTAAATCTATTACTTGTTCAATGAGCTTTTCCATTAGATCATTTCTTTCATCGGAATCCAGTTCCTTTTGAAGCTTTTGAAGTGTATCCCCTATAGGTCCTTCTATAAAATTGTCATGCTTATTTTTGTCTTTTAATTTTATTTTGGAGAGTGGCATGTCATCCTCATCTTCATCCGTATCATAACTAATAGGTGTGGTTATTCTTAAGCCAGGATCTTCTTCATCATCACTGAAAGCCGGCTCACTGTCCAATATTATATGATTATTCATGAGAGAAACAGATTCATTCTCCTCATATTTAATAGAGTTGGGCGTATTTGAAAGTTCTTTTGAAGAGGATTCTGAAGGTGCTGCATTACAAAACTCCCTAAATGTATCTTGAACCATATTCCTCAAGTCTCTATCCAACTTAGAGTTATCAAAGAGAGGTAGAAGTGAAGGCAAAACTCTCTTATCTAAAATTTGTCTTAATGAGGTAAAAATGCCTGCCTTAACTTTTTCCACTAGTGGAGGGTAAAAATGTGTTATAATTCTACACAAAAAATCCAGTAAAGTAGCTGAAACTGCAGGATGTGACCTCATGGAATTGTGCATTACTAAAATGGCAGGTTCAATATTCATAATATTATCTTTTTCACTGTCAAAAAATAGCCAATCATAAAAAAGGGCTAGTTTAGCATTAGAAACTGCCACAGTTGACGTACAAGTTGTTAATAGCCACCCAATAACAGCCCATCTAGGTATTATGTCAGAGCAAAGTAATTCATTTGTTGGATGGATAACACCAACTATAAAGCGTATTATATCACATCGAAGACTTTGTGATTCTGGAGTAGCTAAGTACTGTCGCTGAAACCAGTCTTGATAACGTTTATGATTCCCAAACCTGACTTGAGAAGTTAAAAACACAAGTTTTCTTTCCATTTCTGGTGTTAACCTTGATTGAAGAAACCTACGTGATGTTCTATTTTGCAACAGCTGTAGAACTCCAATAAAATTAGGAGACAGTGACTTAGGAGTTAGTAATATATCCTTCCAAAGTTGTTCAAATTCAGGTATCCTTGCAACATTTTGTAAAAGTCTAACTAAATCTCTTCCAATTACTAAACATTCATGAAAATGATCCCTCATAATACTTATTAAAAAATTAACCTCTTTTTGTCTCAAACTTGATAGATAAGGCGCATTGTGATCTTCTATTAGTCTTAAATATGTATAAACTACTGATGCTATTAAAAGTGGAAATTTCTCTAACCAACTTCTATATTCTATAAAAACATCAAGAATGGATTCAATAAGCGTAATATTTTTTGGGGATACATCACCTCCTGCTGCATGCCTCATCAAATTCCACACTAAAGTGTCCACATTGGTCACAGCATTTTTTATCATTTCTCTTAAGAGCCATATTAACTGTTGTTTTACCACTTCATTAAAACGTAAGTATCTGTCCAACACTAACTGAGATAAATTTGTAACTATTAGCCCAAACCCATCACGAGTTATTAAAGTTAAGTCCCTATAACTTTTGGCTGCATTGTGTGGTTCTGTTAAAATTGTAACCAAAAGTCCAAATGACACTTCTTCATAACCTTTTTCCTTCAAGAGTGCCTTGTTAAGAGCCTCGTGTGCATCTTTATCACTTAATCCAGCTGTTGTGCTTTGAAGAAATTGGTAACTTCTTTCTAGTTTCTGAAAAGCAAAAATCAAATTTTAATTTTACCGCGCTTACAATGCTGTCAACGACAAAATACAAATAAAAGAAGTCAAGGCGAGATTCACAATGGCGGACATTTGCTACCTAATACGATTTTAAATGATTTACCTCTTCTAAATCATCTTTATTTTCCACTGGAGAAGTTAAAAATAGTCTAGAAGTCCCCGTTGAAATCACTTCCATATCGTAAAATGGATAATAACGGCCGCTACGAATTTCGCACTGTTGACAAACACAGCAGGGCCTGCATCGTTCCGTCCTCGGAAAATGTTTGTGAAAATCAAGCTCGCCTTGGTGACTTGGTTCGTAGTGTGGCGGAGTTGGTATATGTAAACGGTGTTGCCAAGTCTCATAATTTTCCGCAGTATACCGAGAAATCAATAAATCGTTTACCGTGAAACGACATGCCTATTAATACATTAAATTCCATTAAGCTTCATTATTTGCCCTTTTTTGTTAATCATGACATCATTATTCAATCATTTATCAAATCTATATTAATAAGTCAAGAATAAAATACACACGTTTTCAGACTTGAGGTACTAAGACTAACATTAGCATTAAAGTCTTTGTTTAAAGCAGCCAACTAAAACTAAACACCTAATTTATATTTATTATTTACCTATAAACAAATTAGTTAAACAGTGCCTTAAAATGTTGCTTGAATCTATACCTACTCAATTTTCGCTAAAAAAAAATTGGGTACTTCAACAAAATCATAAAACGGACAACGTGTAATTCTTGTAATGTACCTCTTAATATCAAATTCTAATTAATTTGCTAGACTGGCATAGGGGTAAGTGGGAAAATCAGTTTACTTTCCAATTTAAAAAGTTGACATACCTACACAGCACGTTGAATAAAACCACATACTTTGATTATATGATTTTAATATTTAATTGTAAAACATAAAAAATTAACTAACGATTAAACTATTTGATTTACCTAGTGACTGATTTAAAAAATGTTTACAATAAAAAATATAACCTGCAGAATGCTTGTCTAAAATATTTTAAGTATTCTTTGACGGCTTTTTATTTTATTAAAAATAAAATACAGTAAAATTACGTGGGTACCTATTTTAGATTTTATTTTATTCCATATACTGTAAAATACAATCATCAAATAAAATAGCAGACCTGGGAATTCCTACTTAAAAAGTCATTAATAGGTAATTACAATTACTTTTTTTCATATAATTTGTAACTGTATTTAAGCACTTTCTTAAAGTAATTTGGAATTGTAATTACAGCAAAATTTGTGGAGGAATTGTAATAGCAGCAAAATTTGTGGAGGAATTGTACTTTTTAATTATATTATTTAAATTATTACATTTTCTTTTAAATACGTGTTTACAATATGCACGTGGTATAAAAACAATAAATTTTCTGTTCGTATGGGTCACTAGAACTCGGACTCGCATCTATCTTATTTGTTTAAATGCATTTGTCGAAAGCGCTGTGCCGTGGAAAGAGCCTCAGTGAAGTAATGAAATTGTTGAACCCAAAATAATAACAGTGAGAGGTGAGTAGATGTAGATACCCTTATTTTTAAGACGTATTTTGTATTTATATTATTATAATCATAATTTGTCACAAACATTAAAAACTAAAGAAAGCATGAAGTGCAGTTTTTATATGGTTGATTAAACGGCCCCAGACTAATGATGCCCGATTTGTATGGTATGATTATAATATAAAAGTACATATAGGCCAAGCGGTACATGAATTTTGTATTTTTGTTTTGAATCAATACACTTTTAAAAGCTCACATATATTATATTAACTTCATTTTCCACTTTTTATACTACTTTTGTTTCTTGTTATGAATTTTATCTTTTCCCATAAAATACCTTAAATGATATAGAAAACAATACGTTTATTAGGGATGGTTGCATAAAGCTTACTTAGTTTTAGGCTTAGATAAAAGAGACCGGTTTTTAGGTTATACAATACATGTCAATTTCCGATCCTATAGGTTCAGCCTAATGTTTGGGGAAACAAGTGATAAACGGTGTTTAGACTGTACCTATGCCATACAAAATTTGTCATGTGTCACCACAAACCGAGTTTAACTTTAAGTAAGCTTTATACAACCCGTCCTTAAAATATCTTTAACTTTAAGGAATAATTAAGAAAGTCGCTGCAAACGGCTGTTATAGTTGAACCCGAGAATAACATATTCTCGGGTTGAATATTTTGAATTACCTATTTAAAAGTGTTATTCTTACCGATCCGGTTGGTTCATGATTCCTCAATTCTATCATAATTTGTTATTTTATGCGCAGAGTAATTAGAAAAGTAACTATAAAAGTAAATGATAATTCCTTTTTTCATGTAATTAAAATTAAATCAATATAATTCCTATTTTTACAACATGAACTTTGTACTTGTAATTAATTCCTTTTTTGAAAAAGTACTTTGTAATTGTAATTATTTTTAAAGTACATGTAATTACCCAGCTCTGTAAAATAGGTATTCAGTACTCAGATAATGAATATGTTTTGAGGATATAACTATAGGTACTTATGCAAACAAAGTCTCAATATATGTCTCTAGCGAGCTTATTGATACCACAAGACAAAATATTATACTTACGAGGAATTTGAATATCATAAACGAACAATCTAACACACACATCACTGTGCTGCTGATGTGTATTCTGAAACAAAATGCACACGAACTGATGGGTATAATAACTCCTTCAGACTAGTTGGCGTTTTATATCTTTCAAGACCTAATCTGATTTCATCAATAACTATTGGAATTCCTCTTAGGGCAATTTTCTTCATGTCATGATGAGTCTCCAACACGAAAAATCTAATTCACGATAAAAGATGACAATTAAAAAAATTGGTATTTTTTATATAATAATATTAATAATAATAATTATATATACCTATAGGTAGATACTCTAATCAAATTTAATGTTTAAACACTCTGGCGGAATCCATGTCGCAATAACATCCTTTATTTTGGTAACGAGATATACACATTGGGTTCAATCATTAAATCAAGTGTACATCTTCGCTGATCCCATATATGTTCCATGAGACACACCCTATATCCTGCATATACAAAATTGTTATTGTATTTATTTATGTAGGTAGGTTGATATAAATATATAGCTAGATTATTATATTAAATAAATGTTTAAGGCGGCCCATTATGATGTGAACAAATAAATATAGGCATTATTTGTTTTAGTTAAAAAAAATATTAAATTTATAAGTAGGGTAAAGTCGGGTAAGATGACGAACGCGCTAAGATGACGAATTGCAAATTTCTGCTACTAGAAAAGAGATGTCGCGACATGTGTAACCCCTTATGCTCTATTGGTTGTAAACTTTCTGTAGTATAAATGCGACTCGCGTATCGGGGACAACACTAATCCTTTGTAATTGCTGTGGTGGGAGGTGTTTGTGTGAATGCGTTTTGTTTTTTTTTTTCACTTACGCCGTGACTAGCAGTAGTATTTGATAAACCTTAGAAGCAAATTTCACATACATGAACAAATAATAATAATACCGTGACAAGAAGACGAAGCAACGACTTCTCGTAGGGTGGCGGCTTCGCCGCCACAGGAAAATTTCAATCAATACCTGGCTACGCCGACCGGCATAAACACCAACAGCTCACCTACTCTGTCAAAAGGAGACGGATGTACAAATAAAACGCATACGAGACGCGCACTACAAATGATTAGTGTTGTCCCCGATACGCGAGTTAAATGCGTAGCATCGTGGAAGAACTCTAAAGTGAGTTGTGACTATTTATACTGTTTGGGTGGTTCTTCTTATAATTTTAGCTCGGGGCAAAATAAGCTCTAATTTTCGCAAGGTACGTTATTAATTTATTTTAATTTTATTTTTTGGTAGTAGAAACCATTATCTATGGTAGGACATGATAAATTACTAATAAGATTTTGTTAAAATTTAATTATAGATTTTTAAAATTGTATGTGCTTGTGTCTCTAAGATGACGAACCGTTGTTGTTGTTGCTAAGATAACGAATTCGCCAACTTTGCTGCATAGCTTAATGTGTTTAAAACATGTTTAAATTTTAATATGGGGAAATATACAAGAAAAACAAATAGACAGTTATGGAGTAAGGAGAACATGAGACAAGCATTAAGAGAAATTATTAATAACGGTTCAAGCGTAAATGGAGCCTCTAAAACCTATTCAGTTCCTGAGGCAACTCTTCGACGTGATATAAGAAAACAGCGATGAGGTACGTAGTTTTCCATATCTTACAATCTTACCTATATGAAAAGAAAGCTTAGATTTTTGGAAAATATAAATTCACTCTAAAAAATCAAAATCTCTTTAAGAGATAAACCAACTAGGTTTTTTCCAGAATTTTCCACAAAATGCTGGTCGCTTCAAGCCAACTTTTACTGATAATCAATTATTGGAGTTAAAAAACTACATATTAGAATTAGATAAAAGGGCATTTGGTTTAACAAAAAAACAATTTTCTTCAATTGTTTTTGACTACGCAGAAAATCATGGGATCACACATCGATTCACTATAAATAAGAAAAAATATAAAAAATTTATAAAAGATTTTAGATTTTCCTTGAGAACTCCAGAATCAACCTCGATTGCTCGCATGATGGGGTTTAACAAAGAAAACGTTAAACAGTTTTTTACGGTCTATAAAGAATTAAAATTAAAACACAATTTTGCAGCTAATCGCATTTACAATTGTGATGAAACTGGAATTTCAACAGTTCCTACAAAAAATCCTAAACTTTTAACACCAACAGGAAACAGAAGAGTCAATAAAATTTCATCGGCAGAACGAGGAACTAACGTCACAGCTTTATGTTGTATTAGTGCTGTTGGTACGTATGTTTCTCCGTTTTTAGTATTTCCAAGGGTAAGAATTCAACCTTCTTACTTAAATGGACTTCCACCAGGTTTCATTGGAGTACCTATCAGAGTAGTTGAATGACGACTGAAAATTTTACAAAATTTCTTGAACATTTCATTAACTTTGTGAAACCGAAGGAAGATGACCCCCTATTATTGATAATGGATAATCATGCAACACAATGTTAATTTGGAAAGTATAAATTTATGCCGCAAACATCACATAACATTACTCGGTTTCCCACCTCATACAAGCCACAGAATGCAACCATTAGATGTGTCTTTTTATGGACCTCTCAAAACAGCTTACAGTATTGTATGTGACGATTTTTTAATCAACAATCTAGGGAAGGCAATTACTTTACATGATATTGGTTCTTTATTTGGAAAGGCTTATCTAAAAGCAGCAACAGTTGCAAATGTTGTGAAAGCAACAGGTATAGAACCGTTCGATTCAGAAATTGTCTCTGAATTGGACTTTGCACCTTCTAAAACTACTGACACCTATCCTGATGCTACAACTTCCAATAAAGTCCAACCCGACCCACCCTTGTCCAGTCAGTCAACAGCTGATATCAATAACGATGAAGAGATTCAAGAAACAATGCAAACTCCGCCATCTACTGAAATCGTCGAAAAAATGAAAGAGGACTCTAATCTGTATGAAGCTCATTCTTCTACTTCTTGTACGATACCAATCAAACAATTTTACTCAACACAACTTCTGCCATTGCCTGTTGCAGAAGTCAGAACTAAACGCAAAAGAGCTAAACTATCATCCCTCGTTATTTCAAGCACGCCAGTAAAAACTGTTTTGGAAACAAAGGGACAGGAAAAGTAAGAGAAAGAAAAACAACAAAAACTTAGAGCAGTAGCCAGGGAGCAAAAAAGCCAAAGAATTACTAAAGAAGAAGAAGAAGAAGAAGAAGAAGAAGAAGAAGAAGAAGAAGAAGAAGAAGAAGAAGAAGAAAAAGAAGAAGAAGTAGAAGAAGAAGAAGAAGAAGAAGAACATGGAACCAAGGAAACTGGTTAAGCGAAGAGTATTCAGTTCATCAGATTCGTCAAATTCGTCAATTGAAGTAGACTTGGTAGACACTGATGATGATAATAACTCTTCTGAGAGTAACAAGATATCTGATAATGAGATGCGTCATCTGTGATGACGAAGGAAAAGATCGGGAACTATGGTTTCAGTGTTCAAAGTGTAAAAAATGGGCGCATGCCGCGTGCACTGATCTGGATATTAAGCAAGCCAAAGCCAAAAAGTGGTTGTGTGATTTTTGTAATCGATAACTGAATTCGAACTTTGTTAAATATTTTTAAAGGATATTGGGGTCTATTCTGTAACAATTCCTTTATATTTAACGGCCTTTAAAAATATTTTCTTCTTTACTTCTGTCATTATTTAAACGGATCTTTAAAATACATTAGAGTACTATCTTAAAGAAATCTGTTTAAATAATGACAGAAGTAAATTAACGAATACAAATATACTTTTAAAGGCCGCCAATATTTTTAAAGGCCGTTAAATATAAAGGAATTTTTACAGAATAGACCCCTTTGTGTTTTATTTTATTATCATAGAACGTTTTTTTATTTTTTTCTAGATTGTTAGAGTTGGCTGTGACGCTATTTGATTTTTTCTTTTTTTATTATAAGCATCTTTTTCGAAAATATTTGTGTTATTTAAAACATCCGTCAACTTACCCACACATAAAAGTCATCTTAGCGCAGGTGGGGTTAAGATGAATTTTACAATTTAAAAAAAACATCAGGTAAAAAAAGGCTTAAATGTATTATTCACTCCAGATTTGTTAAAAAGAATAAATTTCATATACGTGAAGCACATAAGATCAAAGATCTAGTTAACGGTTTTGAAGTAATTCAACTCGAATCGTTAACTTCGTCATCTTACCCGACTTTACCCTAAACTAGGCCACATTAAATATTTCACTATAGAATTTTTTATCAGAAATAACGCCGACTATCAAAAATGTTCATTAAAAAATTTACTAAAATTACTCTACTTCCACCTAACGAATATAGGCTGAAAATAGGAGAAAACTCGAAAGTTATAACGTTGCCTTCTCGTAAGACATGTTGTCAAATTTACTTAACGGGATGGCGTGCCCGGTATCAGAAAATAAATTGCAAATGTATTGGACACCTAAATCTCCCACGTGGTATTTATCATATCTTTAGGTCAATTATTGACATTTTGCAGTACACTTTAATAAATAGTAAATACGAACGATAATAAAACTATATACTACTTATTCGCCGAAGTTTGATAAGAATCCAAATTGTTAGGTATGTTGCCAAACAGTTTTTAATAGGTGTGGTTAGCTACATGCTACATAGAAATATCTAAATATTTTTCGGATTATGTGACTTTTGGAAACTAATTTCAAAATGTTTGCTTTAGTTTTAAATTTATATGATGTGGATCTATACATTAATCTTAAAATAAAAAGGGTGGACTATATTTACATTTAATAAAAATTTAAAATAAATCATAATTTGAATAACCCGCCTTTAATGTTTCATATCCTCCATTTTCTTATAGAAACAGCCATGTTGTCAAGTTGCAAAATATAACCCCAAATAAAAGATTTTAAGCAAAATTTAACCAAAGCATTAGTTCAAAGTTAAAATGTACATATGAATTTATATTTATACAAAATAAATAATATTTATAAAAATTGAACTAAAATTGAAATTAGAGATCTCAATAATTCAATTTAATTATTTCTACATGTTACAAGAGCAAATAATTATACATTTCATCAGTGTGACGAGTAAGGACCCTGAAAATAGGCAATTTCATAGTACATAGTCCTACAAAAAAGTTCAACGCGTGTTTTTATGGACTTTACGTTATTCTCTTTGCATATACCTGTAAGCATATAGGGTTAAAAACAATAATTGTGAAAAATTCAAATTCATTTGAGTCCGCAACACATGATCTAATTTCAGTGAATTCTATATCTTTTTAGAATATATGACCTAGTACCTACCTATATATGCCGCGTTTGAGAATCCACATCGGATGCATCTGAGATGTAAGCTTTGTCCCAACATCTCACAAAACCGTAATATTACGGTCATCGTCATGCGCAGTAAATAAAAACCGTTCGACTTTGGGCTTTATTGATAGGTTTTTATTTACTGCGCATGACGATGACCGTAATATTACGGTTTTGTGAGATGTTGGGACAAAGCTGTAGTAAATCTTTGATCACGTGATTCAGTATACGTAAATGTAATGGGACAGATGTGTCCGATGTGGATAAAAAAACGCTCGAGATGTAAAAAATGCATCCGATGTGGATTCTGAAACGCGGCAATGGAATAACCCTATATTTTCATTCGTTATTTCGACCTAATGTATAAAGTTCATAAGGTTCAATTTATTTGAGATTATAAAGTTGAATACATTTTAAGACTCCATGGATGGTGGGGTTGCATACATTCGGGGTCATTTTGAGGATTCTGACGTAATCACTAATGTAGTCTATAATAGGTCTTTTCCTTTGCATCGAAAGTGTAGCACTGAGCTACACCACTTCTGAAAATATCGTTCCATTTATACAAATTGTATGTATAATATTTTTTTGATCAATCAGAACAAAACTGAATTTTCTTAATCATAAATGAAATTATAATTATTAGATTTATATTTATCCTTAACTTATGATGTCAACAATATGCTAGACTTAAAAAAATAAAAACAGAAAAAAAGGAGAGTTAGATCATCAAAATAATTTAAACAAAGAGATCTAATTGAAATTAAAGAAATTCACAAGGATCATTTTCCATTCATGTGATTCATATCAAAAATCTGTCAGAAGAATTTCAATTGTCAACGTCACGACAAGAAATAATTGACAATTCGTCAATTGTCAATTGTCATTTATCAATGGGCGATGGGCGATTCTTGAAAATTACAAAATTAGTGAAATAATTTTAAAGCGTATATTAAATATTAAGTTATGAAACTACGCCAAGACTGATAAAATATCCATTCCGCAATTGAATTAATTTGGTAAATCCTTTCAATTATCAATCCAGTTGTTTTAAGATGAGTATGAATTTCTCAAGTTTTTTCAAGAGGAAACTTCACAAAGAAGAAAATAATATTGCTGTAATAGGTACTCCAACTAATGTTAATCATGATATTCACGTTACGGTAGATGAAAAGGGGCTTTTAACCGGTCTCCCTTCAGCTTGGATGAGACAAATTGGTACCCAAATCACGAAAGATGAGCAAAGGGAAAACCCATTAGTAGTTAAACAAGTTTTGAAATACTACAATTTTTCCATAAAGAAAGGCAATGAGGATAGACCTGAGTTTAAGCACATTATTACTGAAAGGGATATTGTAGAAGAATCTAAACAAATTGATCTGTATACTCAATCTAAGGATGCCCATAAAAGTAAAGATTCCTTATCCGATTCTGAACAAAAAGAAGATAAAAGGTAAGTAACAAGAGGTTTTTAATTATCTGTAAAATATATTTGTTATCTAAAAGTAATATTTGAAATTTGATATTTTAAAATATAAATATATTTTCGTGTTTCATAAATTCTGGAAACTACTTAAACATTCAACTGAAAAGGAAAAATAATATATCAAACTTTTGACTTCACAGAAATTAAGTTATTTTTCTTGTTACCATCGTTTCAATCAGGGTCTCAAAAATATTAGCACTACTTCAGCTTAACAGTCAATTACCAATGGCACAATGGCTTAAAGAACAGATATTGTATACAAATGAATTTTACTCATACTGTTTGAACAGTTTAATATAGTTGGACATAAATAAATAATAAATATTCTTTATTTAGCAAAATACATGCTATTACATACAAAGAGAAATATTACATAAAAAAAGCATAACTTAAAGTAATTATAAAGCAAATAAAATTTAGAGTTGAAATCTTTTTTTTTTAAACTTTGACATTAGGGGTCTGTTTCTACAATAAGAGGCAATCTGTTATACTTTTTCAGCCCTTCAACAAATATTGATTTTTCCAGTATGCTGGTGTAATACCTATCTACATAGTAATTCTGATTTATTCTCAGGTCGTATTCAAGCATGCCTCACCTTTTCCTCAAAAACCTTGATAAATATACATGCAGTTTTTTTTATTGATTACCTACTTTGTAAATAAATATCATTTCAGCTTCTTCTATCATTTGTTGGATATTTAAAAAATTTAAAGTTTTCAGCACATAAAGTTTTCAACATATCCCGGTTGCAACTCAATAGAATACACATAACCTTATTTTGTAAAATTGGCAAACTATTTATATCTTCTTTATCACATGGAATTAGTAATGATGCACAATATGTGAATATTGGATAGATAATGCAGTTATACACATTCCTTTTTGCCCATTTAGCTGAACTCTGTAAAAATAACTAATTCTCTTTTTTACACATATAATCTACAAGTTTTTATAACTAAATTTTGTACAATTGTTTGGACTGCCAAAAGTCAAACATTTTGGTTTTGTTGCATTTAATTTAAATGTTTTAAACTTGAGCCAATTACGTATGACCTTTAATTCCTCAGACATTATTTATTTACTATTTATTTTATTTTTATTTATTATTACATTATTCAACAGGTCAAGACCCAATTACAGAGTAAGAGTACAATAATATATAAATACAATTAATTTAGAAATAATATACTAATTGATTGAACAGCAGGTGAGAAAAAAGCTAAGAGAATTATTTTTCTAGCATTTCATGAATATATGCAAAACTAAAGATTTGAGACAACATTATTATAGAAATAACACCTAATATTATGAATTGAACTATAAAATAAATCAAGCTGGCAACTTACTGATTCATAATTATTACACATGGTGTATATAGGAGATTTTAAGAGAACATTTGTTCTGGGTGTATTCAAGTAAAATGTATGGGTGTTCCTGGAAGCTATTCGAGGAACTGCAAAGTTAAGATTATGAATCAAATATGAAAAATCAACTTTAAAATGAACTGTCTTAAATAGCAATACCACAGAATCGAGCACAGAATAATATTTGTGTCTTGTATCAAGACTTATGTCTACTACCCTCTCATAATTTGCACCCGAAACAGATGAAAGAGTATCATCTGCATAAATATTAACCTCTAGATTTATGAAACAGTGTTTTAGATTTTTATGTTATTTATGTAAACCAAAAAGATTAATGGATCCAGTACACTACTCTGTGGCACTCCAACTGTTACACATAGTGAGTCTGATGTGTGTTTATTAACTTTTGTTCTTTGATGCCAATCATCTAAGTGTCATTCAACCACTGGAGGACTGTTCCTGTTAATCTATATGTCATGTGAACTGATCCCATATTTAATATAGAATAATTTACTTCATGTATTGTTCTGGTATGTTTTATATGTCCTTGTGGGTTCCAGTTGTTGAAGATTTCCAGTCTATGCACTCATTCTGGCCTCCCCCTTTATGACTAGGTCAAGAGGTGGGAGGTTTAGAATGATTTCCATAGAGGCTGTCAGTGTACTTCTCAGTGCTCCTGTAACACAAAGGCATGCCAGCCTCTGTACTCCTGAGAGGGTATTGAGGGCTGTTTTCTGGTTTACTTTTGGCCACCAAACAACTGCTCCATAAGTTATAATGGGTCTTGTTATTGCCAAATATAGCCAGTGGACCATTTTTGGTTTTAATCCCCATGTTTTTCCAAATGCGACGGGCACTACAATGAGAAACATTTTACAATTTTACATTTGTTGGTCACTTTTTGTGAGTGTTGGTTCCAAGTAAGTTTTCTATTTAGGATTAGACCCAGATATTTTACTTGGTTCGTTTTGTTTAGCCTTCCTCCAAACAGAGTCAAAGTTTTTAAAACCTCCAACTTTGTTTTCCGATTAAAGGTTATGAGTTGTGCCTTGTCAGGGTTTACCAAGAGGTTTTCCCTAATGCACCACATTTCTGTCAGTCTAAGAGCTCTTTGCCTGAGTTTAAAGACTGTGGTTTGGTGTTTCCCTCGGATTAGGATGACTATGTCATCGGCATATCCTTGGGCGTACAGCCCTTGATTGTTTAGTGTTTTCAGCAGTTCATCTGCCACTAGGAGAAAGGACTCCACCCTGTGGATATTTACCTACATGGTTTCACTGAACATTTGTGCCTGTACTTGCCGTCCGCATAACGTCTTCTATCCACCAGAAGATGGTGTCTTCTATTCCATGTTTGCGAGCGGCAGCTACCATTGATTTAAAAGAGGTATTATCAAAAGCTCCTTCTATATAGATGCTCCTTCTATAGAAATGCTCCTAGGACTATTTCTTGGCTACTGAGTCCTCCCTCTATCTTTGTTACAAGATGATGCAGAGCAAACTCACAAGATTTTCCTGATTGATAGGCATGTTGGTTTGTATGAAATGGTCTCTCTATCAGAGTCAATAGAAATGACGTCAGAGTTATTGGTCTATAGGCCTTTGCCACGGCATACGTTGGACGCCCCGGTTTAGGTATAAAGACAACTCTGGTTTGTTTCCAGGTATTTGGTACATGTTTATGCACCAAACTTGCCTTGTAGAGTCTACAAATATGTAGGGTCAGCGTTTCTATTGCCTGTTGCAAAAGCACAGGCAGTACCCCATCTGGTCCCGGTGATTTGTATGGATTGAAGGTGCGTATTGTCCATGTTACTTTCTCTGTTGTAACTACCCGTTTAGCAGTTTCCCACTCTTGGCTGGAGACTCTTTTTTGAGAGTTCCAGTTCGTGTGGGTTTGGTTTGCTGCATTCGAGTTTGTTGTGCAATCAGGGAAATGAGTTTTAAGAAGTAGTTCTAATGATTCCAGTTTTAGTGTTATGGTCAGTTCAGGGCTGGCTGGGTTAGTTTAAGAATTGTACAATTCTTTTCTCTATTGCTTTTTCAATTATTTTGAAAAAGTAACTGATCAAAAAAATTGGTCTATGATACTCAACGATCTGTGTGTGTCTCCTTTCTTGTGTATTGTTACAACTGAAGATTGCTTTAATGGAAATTCACCATTACATACTGAATAGTTTATTAATTGTGTTAATGATGTTAGGATTACATCAGTACATTTTTTTAAGACATGCATGGAGTTTTCATCATATCCACAAGACTTTTTAATTTGAATGTTTTTGATAATAATTTCAATATAATGTTCATTAAATGGAGCTTTGAAAATTGAGATCAGCTTGAAGTTTCTGGTTAGTTGAGTCTGTTTTTTTATTTTTTTAAATATTGGTGAAATACTTTCTAAATTCATTAGCAACCTTATAGTTTTCGGAGATTTTGATATTATTAATTGTAAGTTGATTATATTTTTTGTATATCTCGTATTTACGAATCTCCAAATGGTTTTTGTTTTATTATCAGACTGTTCTATAATATTTTGGTGTATATCTTTTTTCTGAAATTATTTGTTTTTTACCTCTTTTTTTTTTAGTACTATAAAAATTGTTAAGAATTGGGTCATTAAATTGCTTTTTTAAATGGTTTAATTCTCTTAAATTCAAATTTTTCTTATTTAGTGTGTGTATCTGTATACTCGATAACTCATGAATGGATAAAGAGAAAAATACCAAGTTTTAAACTTAAGCCTCAATAAGTTTTAAACTTAAGCTTCAATATATCCTGCAGTGAGCTGATTAGATTTTGGGCACAGTCGGAACATCTGGAGATGTACTTCATAGGAGGTCGTTTTTTCTACTTTAAGGAATGTATCTGTTATTTACGCTTAGAGATGAAAATTCTTGAAATATAGGTTGGCAAAAAGTGCAAAATTCGAATTTTTAAGAAAATTGTTCAAAAATAGGTTGATTGTGATGTCATTCTGTATAATTTTTGCTCTATACATGATTTCTCTAAAATGGACCACATTTGAAAAAAAATTGAGGTAAAGTGCAACATTCGAATTTTTCACCTTATACACTAGTGCAATTATTTCAGGAAATTTTTTCGAACTCACGATTATTTTGAAAATCATCCAGATATCACTCTCTATATTTTTTGATCTTTACATGATTTCTTTAAAATGGACCACAATAGAAAAATTTGAGGATAAGTGTAAAATTTTGATTTTTCAGTATTTTCATTGGCAATGAATATATTATATATATAAAAAAATGTTTCGAATAAGATGTGTGTGCAAAATGTATTTTAGTTCATCCTCTAACTAAACAGTTACAGGGGTGATACAGAATAACCGAAAAAACCTATAATTTAGGTAACACAGGAAAGTCATGTTTTGGACACATCAGATTTTTCCAATTGAACAGGTATATGCAGGAAGGACACAAGACAAAAAAAACACATTTTTGAGAAATCGATTAAAACTTTCTTTATTAAATTAAGTCAAATTTTAGGCATCGGTTGTGATAATTAATTTGTATTAAGAATTAGATGATTAATCTACTTATTTTTTGAACTTGTAGATACATTTTGCGTCCTTTTTGCAAATTA